TGCGTCACCCATCTAGCTGAAGAAACACTGAAAATGTTCTAAAAAGTTAAGAAAAATTAAACTGCAACTGCATGGAAGCTGTAAAAGATATGAAAACACGGATGCTTCACATTCAAAGCCTTGTGACCCGTTCAAACTTTGAATGTGGTTTCTACTGTAAAATATGCTACAGGGCTCCAAAGATGGCTGGCTTTTGGGCTGTTGTCCTATTCACTTCAATGGGGATTTTTAAGGCAGGTTTTTACAAATTTTGTCAAAACCACACAAGGAACTGCCACTAAAAGTCATAGCACACCTTTCCTGATCGAGCAGCATGTTTTAAGATAAAATATGTATGGGTTATCTGAAAACTGCGGGATGAGTTGTGCCAAAAACCTGTTGAGAATCTATGAGAACAAGCCCAAGGCATAGAAAACTAATGATAAATATCTGCGTCGTGTTTCTGTCTGTCCAGTTTGTAAGGCAGCCAAAGCCGACCTGGTGTTCCTGGTCGACGGTTCCTGGAGCATCGGCGATGACAACTTCCTGAAGATCATCCGTTTCCTCTACAGCACCACCGGAGCTCTGGACCGGATCGGCCCAGACGGCACTCAGGTACCACGGAGGGCGGCTCGGCCTTCTTTAGACAGAGTGACAGCTTTGACGGCCGTTGCTCTAAACTCTTGCTGTCTCCTGGTGCTCGGTTTGACTGGCAGGTTATTGACAGGAAAACTACAGAAAAAACACAGAACAACCTAGAAGCAGAGACTTGGAGCTTTTTCTTTCGGGACCGTGGCAAAAGCTGCACTTTGCCAGAGGCGCAGCAGGATTCTCGGCCTTGTTCTGCATGTCGGCGGGTCGCTGCGCTCTGCAGTGGCAGCAGAGACGGAGTAATGAAGGAGATCATCAGTGGTAATCCACTGAGCGCTGCAGTGGGACTGTCAGTATCGACTGCACTGCACACAGCACACCTTGTGCCTTTATTACTGGATCCATGACTTCAATTTTCATCAAACAATGTTCTTTCAACAACTAGTTATCTCAGAGTTAAACAGGCATTTGTTTCTGACGTGAGCATCTATGTGACTGAAATTGGAAATACACTAGCTTTAGCTGGAGATATGTTGTTTGTCGTATACCTGGATCGGTATTTGTTGATGTGTAGATGATTGTCCTGTTCAAAAGGGTCACGTAAAGAAAATGGCAGGTGGTTGCTTTACTTTCACGGGAGACTGAGGTTGTCTCTGGTATCCAGCCTCTACTTTTTCCCCTTGGTTTAGTAGCGTTTCAGTTCAGGAAAAGATCATAGTTTGGATTAAAATATCGCCTTTTTAGAGCTGCCACTAAAAACAATTTTTATATCTATTAATTTGTCTTTTCTTTTTTTTTTTTTTACTAATTCAATTAAGCAAAAAAATACTAATTTTGCTCCATAACTGCAAAATGACAATTTAGTTTAAGTTCGTTTCGACCAACCACATGTCATGATATAATGCAGCTCAGTTTGTAATGTACTAAAATGCGGTACTGTAGGTTTAAAGTGGAAGCTCTGACATGATAGAAATAAAAGAAAAATAGGAGCTTATTAGTCAAATCAGCAGTGCGATTCTGAAAGAAGTGCAAGCTTCTGTTAAACCCCGAAAAAAAGTGGAAGAACTTGTGTATTACAGAAAGTAATAATGTAATAATAATAATAGTAATAATGGCCACGGTGGACATTTTTCAAGTGCGGAGCAGCCAAAGCGATTCCTTTCCTCCTTGTTGTGGTCGTCGAGTTTGGTTTTAGCTTCAATTTATATGAAAATCCAACTGAATTCACAGCAGAGTCGTTACTTTTATGTCGTGTTTTTGGGTATTTTGTCAGACGTCCTTACAGTTATAAAATCAGCATTTTAGCAGAACAACACCGCCGAAGTATTTGCATTTAGTATTAATAAGCTGCATTTCAGTGGCTTTTTCATACCCATTTTGTTTTCTGTCAACAAAAATAGAATTCAAGAAACATCTTTTTTGGGAATGCAGCTGTATTTAAATACAACATGAACACAGAGATCAGGAAAGAAGTAAACAGATGTAAAGAGCCTCATTTCTCATTTCTGTGGTCTGACATCCAAACTCTTCTTAAGCCACCTTTTTGTTCTGGGATCATTTGAAGAACTTGTACACTGAATCAACACACATTTTGCAAACGATTGACAATAATAATAATGATGATTGATGAAGATGATGATGATGATGATGATGATGATGATAATAGTAGCGCTAGAAAACCCAAAGACGCTTTACACACAAACAAACAATAAATAAATAAATAAGTAACAGGACAATCATATATTGAGGTGGGATAATAGGGAGTATGGTCAAAGGGGAAATGCCAGTTTAAACAGGTGGGTTTTGAGCTGTGATTTGAAGGCCTAGACAGAGTCCGATTGTCTAACGTGCTGAAGGAGGGAGTTCCTGAAGGCAAGGGCGACACCGGCAAAGGCTCGGTCCGCCAAGGTCCGATGCTTGGGTCTGACGATGGGGATTAGAAGGCAGGAATCGGCAGAGCGGAGATGGCGGGTAGGGCAGTGATGTCAGAGAAGGTCCGTGAGGTAGGAGGGCTCGAGACTGGTGAGGGCTTTGAAGGTGATGGGGAGGAGTTTGAACTGAATGCAATCGTGGACGCCAGTGAAGTTTTTATAGAACGGGGGTGATATGGTTTCAGTTTTTGGAGGCCAGTGGCAGGGAAGCCATAGAGGATGCTACTGCAGTAGTCGAGTCTGGAGGTTATAAAGGTGTGGAGAAGAGTTTTGGCAGAGGAGTGAGAGAGGGAGGGGTGGAGACGGCCAATGTGGAAGAGTGAGGTCCTGTTGATGTTACTGATATGGGATTTGAAGGTGAGGGTGGGGTCCATGATGATACCAAGATTGCGAACTAAGGGTGAGGGGGTAGTGCTGTGACCATCAATGGTAAGGCAAAGTCATGAGCGGAAGGAAGGAGAGATTTGGGTCCAATGATCATGAGTTCTGTTTTGTTGCTGTTTAGTTTGAGGAAGTCGTTGTGTCAGCGACACAGTTTGTGATGGCGGAGAGAAGGGCTGGGGTGATAGTTTAGGTGGAAACGTAGAGTTGGGTATCATCGGCATAGCAGTGAAATTGGAGACCATGGCGGCGTATGATAAGTCCAAGAGGTAGCATGTAGAGAATGATGATATGACGCAACAGGTCTGCAGTGACACTAAAGAAAAACATATGACAGAATGAACCAAAATAAAAACAGGAAGACGTTTGGCATTTTCCGCATCAATGATTGTTTTATTAGTCACGGCTAGAAAGGAGTGACACCAGCTGAGAATGTTTGGCTACGTGGTCTTCATTTCTGACATTAACAGATATTTCTAGGTTCACTGAATGATCCTGTACATTAAAAAGTGACTCTTAAAAGTACCCAGAGTGTCAAAATGTCATGCAAAGAACTCCTGACAAAGACAAACCTTCAAGCAAGATTTTACTTTTTTTGCAATTTCCTTTATTTTTCGGTCCTCCAAGATAACTTTGAAGTAACTCCACTGTGTTCCCTCTACCTATAATAACAACTATACTCTCTTTTAACAGCACTGAAATTCAGTAGAGCCCAAGAAGAGAAAATTTCTAGGACAAACTGTGTTACAGCCACTGTATCTTTTTTTATCAGTCATTTACATCCAATCAGTATTCTCCTGCCGCTCTCCGGTGGCCACTAAGCTGCTCTCATTAATGGTTCTTGTTACCTACAAATAAGGAATATTCCTGTTCGCTCTCCCAGGCGGCCCTGATGAAACAACTTATTCTTCTGCTCTGTGTTACAGAACTTCCCAATGTGTTCTCAGCTCATTTACGTCGACGGTGTTCTTTTCTCCCCAGTGATCGAGCGGAATTCAGTCAAGTTCAGTTTGTCGCAGCTTTAGAAAACACTGCGCAAACATGTTTTTAAAGCTAAAACATGCTGCAGAATGAATGTTTTCTCATGTTCATGTGGAACATCCCGATCTTTCCAACATGCTTGTGTTATTTAGAGACGCGGCAAACAACAGGGCTTATGGGAAATGTGTTTATTCCACAAGCTTATGTAAATTGGTTAAATCTCTCATTCAGCATTTCTTCGTTTCTCAGCATGTCTTATGACAAAATGCAGTCTGCTCCTGAGGTTTGCTGTCCGTCATCTTTAGATTTTCGCAAAATTCAAACAATTTACAATTCCCTACCAGAAAATTAGAGTTTCTACAGAAAGTGTGTGAATATCTCCCCAGTTCTAATTAGTTTTAGCATGTTTGCCCTTATTTTAACTTTTATTTTAACCCTCTGAACCCCAAAACCCACACTGAAAGTTTAAAAGGCATGTTGTCTTGAAAATAAATTGCAACAATTCCCACCATTTATTATTGCTAGAAACTGCAAAGACAGAAAAAAAATCATCAGATTGTAGACTCTTCGATCTAATCATGTTTGCTGTGTAATTTAGTCGTAAAACATAATCCAATCCTAAGCCTAAAATCGTAATATTTCAACAAAATCACTTTATTTCACATGTCTGGTTTAAAAATTCACATTAATTTTAGTTTACACTAGATTCAGTGCGACCATGAAGTTGTTAGAGACTCAATTGTCACCAGTTCTATGATTGAAGGACTATTTGGCTGAACTGCAGGCTGTGTTGATGGAAACAAACTACAAATGTGGGTAGTAAAATATCCATAGTATGTAGAGTGACTTTAATTTTTGTATTTATTTTTTTTTTATGATAACTTTTTCATATTATACAGAATACATTTCTAAGTTCTCTTTACTTCTAGTCATGGTTGTGTTGTTTCCATAGAGGTGCAGGACTTTATATTGCAGTGAAAAATGAGCCCACAATGAGTAAATATGAATGAATGAATGAATGAATGAATGAAATGAAAAATACTTTATTTATCCCAGAAGGGAAATTCAATTATAATATGTGACGGGAGCAAAGAAACGCTGAGAAACTGCTTGGAGTTTCAAGATTAATGTTGCTGAACGAAGAGTATTTCCTTCCTGTCAATGCGCAAACCCCCCAAAATGGTGTTAAAATAATTGCAAAGCACCTAAAAGCAGTTTAGCAGTGAACTCATTGGACACGCTAGACCAAAACTTTATAAAGCAGTGATTTCTTGCCTTATCGTTGAGGTCAAAATGGCCCAATAAGTCAATTTTGAGTTCTTCCTGCTTCTAGTCATGGTCGTTCTGTTTCCATAGAGGGACAGGAATTTATATTTCAGTGAACAATGAGCCCACATTGAGGAAAAAAGTGTGAAAGGAGCAACAACAAAAAAACACACAGAAACCTACGATTCAGAGGGTTAAGAATAAAGGATGTGAGGACCCAAACATCAAACTTAGAGATCAGACTAGGACAGAAAAAACTGTTTATTTTAACAACACTTCTTTGAATGTGCACAGGAGTGGACTTGGAGTCGCTTAATGTTTGTGGTGAGCAGGCAGGACTTGGGAGTTGTCGGGTGATTTCTGGAGAGAAGAGCTGGTTTAGATTTAATAAAGCTGGAGCGCCGCGATAGCTCAACTGGTTGAACTGGCATCCCATGTACAGGGGCTATAGTCCCCGACACAGTGGCCATGGGTTCAAGTCCCATGATGGCCCTTTCCTGAAAGTCCTTTCCCATTCTTCTCCCCCACTTTCTTCTCTCTCTCTCTCTCTCTTGACTGTTATAGGCAGAAAAAAATTAAATAAGATAAACCTCACATGCTCACAAGGTCACACATTCAGATAAACAAGGATAAACAAGAAACAGAAGTATACGGTTAAAACCCACCAGGAGACAAACAGCAGAGGGAAGGGACTGCTTCCATGGTAGCAGAAAATAAAAAATGCAAGACCAAAGCATCTTCCAGGGGCAAACAGAACAACTGAAGTCGGAACTCGGGGTGGAATTGTTGCACATTTTTGGTGATTAGTTCCTTCCTTGTGTTGTCCCATCAGGTGGCGATTGTCCAGTTCAGCGATGACGCCCGCACGGAGTTCAAACTGAACTCGTACAACGACAAGGAGCGTCTGCTGGACGCCATCAACAAGATCACCTACAAGGGAGGAAACACCAAGACAGGTGAGATCCAAGAACACCAGCCAGGCTGCTGGGGAGGAGAGAACACAACGTAATGAGGAGACCTGGGGCCGGCTGTGGCTCAGGTGGTACAGTGGGTTGTCCTCTGATTGCAAGGTTGACGGTTTGATCCCCCACGCCTCCACGGTCAAAGTGTCCTTGGGCAAGACAATGAATGCAGGCAGGCAGCTTGCATTAAAGCTCTGTAGCCACTGGTGTGTGAATGTGTGTGAATGAGGAAACCACTGAGGTAGAAAGGCGCTGTATGAGTGCAGATGATTTACCTGTGGAGCTCCTGAATGGTGGATGGTGTTGAAATCGGGTAGAGTTTCAGGGAAACGGTGACGGATGCTTGAACCACAGAAAAAAAAAAAACTTCTGCACCTGATAACATCCCCAGAAGAAATCAACTCTAAACGCAGGAAAGACACCTGCATGAAACAAATCAGCAACGTGAACACGCACACAGCTTCCTAATGGCATCATCAATATTTACTGAGCAGAAGGCAAACAGAAAATTAAATCTGCCTTCTGTGCGTTGTGTTAATTTTCCTGTATACATGCATGTAAAACACGTGCACCCATTTGCTCTCATCCTGAAGTTTAGAAGTGCACAGTAGCCTTTATTTCTCGAGTGTGTGTAACGGGTGGAAGTCTGTAGGGAAGCGGTGAGAAGTGTAGTCATTAATCAGTGTTTACCGAGCAGCGCAGCCACTTCGTCCTGCAGGGATGAGACTGCAGATTTGTAACACTGTCACTGCTGGGGAGGAACTCTCCCAACGCAAATGTCGCTCTGTAAAACACCCGTTTTCAATTTTTATACGGAAGCAACAGTTTGGGGAGTTAAAAAGCACTCAATCACCGCGTTCTGCACACTGCAATTAAGTGTCCGTTTGCCGGCGTTCCCGCAGAGTATTTGATTACTGGATCTATTTTTTAAAAAAAACCTGCTGCTACTTTATGGCTTTATTGAAATGTAACAGCAGCAATCTTCCCGAAGAGAAGCCTGAGATCAATTTATACTTTAAAGTTTTAAAAATAGATTTAAAAATAATGGCTTTTTTTTCTGCTCCATGCGTTGTTTAGTTTTTTGTTTTTTTTTGAGGTATACTTTTTAATGAAAGCCAACAGAAGAATATTTGATTAACCTTTTAAAGGCCAAAAACAAGCAGAGGGGTTTGAAGGTTTTAAGAAAAAAAGTGCCATTTATCAGCTAGAAAATGTTAAAATAGAGAGACTCATTGGATGTTCAACTATCCAAAAAGGTCATGAATTACTCATCTGCTACTTCCATCAGGAGAAGGAACCAAATCTAAGTGTCCAGAAACTGCTTCGAGTTCAAAGGTTAGAATTCAAAAAGCGGTACAGGAAGACACCAAGTTCTGACTAGAGGTGTTAGGGAGAGGTTATTCAGTCGGTTGCAGTTTGCTACGTCGCCACAAGATGCCGCTAAAGCTGTCACACTATTCCTATAAGTAAGTTTGGTGTCTTTTTTTTTTTTTTCTTTTTCTAAACAACCCATGAGCACAGTAGCACCGTATTTCAGTGACTGTGACACTAACCTCAGATCTGGACTCCGGTATTCCATCTGTTTTCAGATGTCTTGCTGCTTCGCTGAGGTTTCCTCGCTGTGCAGCCTCGATGTTGCTCTCATGTTCATTTACATCAACATGTCATGTTGTCGTGGCCTGTCGTCACAAGTTTTTTCCTTCCACAGTGATATTTAATTTGTACGAAAACCTCGAATTTAGCTGTCAGTGAGGTCTTTTAGTGAGCAGTGACTCTTCTGCGCGTCACAAAGCAAACAGCAGATGTCAGACGGAGGACAAACAGATCTTCAGCAGCTGGAACGGCGACTTGAAGCTCTGCAGCTGACTAAACAGGCTGCTGCGAGTTTTTCGCACGTAGCAATTTATTCGGCAGTAAATTAAAACCGTGCAGCAGCAAAGCAACACGAAGAGGCTTCGTCCCAACAGGAAGAAACTCTGTGATGCAATGTTTTTGCTCAGAGGCTGTTTCTCCTCCATGATCGCTTTCTTATGTAAGTTGTGTTGAATGACACAAAGTTGCAGCCAAAGAATAGATTCAAATTGGAGTTCCCATAACTGTGCAGTCCGCTGTGACAGACAGGCAGATGGTGAGAGGTAGAATCAGCACATCCAAACATATTTTCTCCAAACCGCTTAGCTCTTCTAAACACTTCAGACACAAATTACTTTAAAAAAATGAGTGAGATTTTATTTGCGGTGTTTCTTTAGTTCTACCAAAAACATGTCTACCGTAATTTACGGACTATAAGCCGCTTCTTTTTTCACACTCTTTGAACACTGCGGCTTAAATGCCACTAATTTATGGATTTTTTATGAATTTTCCTCGAGACAAAAGTGGCATTGAGAGCGACAATGAAAGAGAGATTGAGGACGTGTGTGTTGAAGTAATTCTGAGGTGATTCAATTCCGACACGGAAGAAGACGACTTTAGTGGTTTTAGTGCGCAGGAGGAAGATGAAGATAGCCATCAATGACTTTTCCTGGTAGGCTGCTGTATTTTTTTTTTGTTTGTTTTTAACCAGCCGTGTTACAGGCTCTGTTTGGAAAAAGGATTCACGTATTTGCGTATGTTACCGGTATGTATTTAATTAAAAGTTTAAAAAATCTTTTTGTGTAAATATCTCATGTTACAACGTGCGGCTTATAGACAAGTGCAGCCTTTGTTGGTGTGCTCGATAGTCCAGAAATTACGGTAATTCGAATTCCCCCCCCCCCAGAATATGTTATTTTGATCAACTGTAGTGGACGTCTGACATAAGTGCTATAAAATGCACTTTGAGGCAGAATACAACATGAGAGGGGGGTAAAAAAAAAAAAAAAAGTTGATTACTGACATGAAGGAAAGGATTTTCTGTATTACAAGGTTTCTCAAATTGTTGCTTAAATATGCAAATGACAGAAAATTTTCAGCAAGTGTATACATTTCTAGAAGAGAAAACCGAACTGCTGCAAAGCGAGGTGTCAGGTTGCACGGTCATGCATGTGGAAGACTAAACATTTCACTGCAAAAGTGAGCTGGAAAAATTATTTTTTTAAAAAAACATTCATTTGCAGTTTCCAAAGCAAATAGTAGACTCCAAAAGGAAAAACAAAAAAATACATCGCGCGGCCTTTTGTAAGAGTTCAACGTTTCCTGGAGTTGATGTTGAGCTGATGATCACTGGTTCTGTTTGTCCAATCAGGTCGAGCCATCCAGCACGTAAAGGAGAACATCTTCACAGCCGAGGGAGGAGTCCGGAGAGGAATCCCCAACGTCCTCGTGGTTCTTACCGATGGCCGGTCGCAGGACGACGTCAACAAAGTTTCCAAAGAGATGCAGATGGAAGGTCAGAACTGGGCTGTCGGTGGTTTATGTGATACAGGATACAGGAAGGTTTTCAGAATTTAAGAAGAATTAGCAAGACAAAACGTTGAGCATAGAACAACATGAACTGAAAGCAAAATGTATTTTTTAAATGTGAATTTTTTAAAAAAGTATTTTCTTGTGAGTCCAAATTGTAGTGACTACATTTTATGCATCTTCATCTTGTCCCACCACACTTCAAGATTCAAAGATTCAACGTCTTTTATTGGTCACAAACACAGCTATACATGGTCTAACGTGCAGTGAAATCATATCATATAACACACAAGCTATTATATGATATGGAACTTCAAGGATGAGATCATTTTTAGCTTCTAAAAAAAAGTACAGTTAAAAGCCCTCATCCATATTCTTGTGCTGGTTGTTCTCAAGTTTTTTCCTTTACCTTTAAAGGCTACATTGTGTTCGCCATCGGCTTCGCTGATGCCGACTATGGAGAGCTGGTGAGCATCGCCAGCAAACCCAGCGACAGACACGTCTTCTTCGTGGACGACCTGGACGCCTTCAAGAAGATCGAAGAGAAGCTGGTGACCTTCGTGTGCGAAGCCGCCACTGCCAGTGAGTAACGTTTCAATCGGTTTGTTTGGGCACCTGTAGCACGTGTGCACAGTTGAGTTGTGGCTGCAGAAACTCCCGAGAGGACAGAGAGAATAAAACCGTAAGAAGCGATAAAGACACAGCATCGGATAAAAGCCAATCTCTAACAGTGTGTTTCAAGTGTGAAGTAATTTAAAGGACGTCCCTGATTGTGCGAGCGTTTCCTCCTCACACTTCGTAACAAATCTGAGATCTCGTCATCTTTAGACTTAAGCCTCGACTTTAGAGCAATCAGAAGGGCCCATCTGAGCATCTGAACCCGCAAGCTGGTTCATGTGGCACCAGACATGATTTAAAAGTGGTCAGTAAAACACAGAGCTGCTGCTGCTGCTGCTGCTGCTGCAAGGGGACCACTGAGACTTTATGAATTATTAATACACGTATTTATTTACAAAAAGAGCAGCTTAATACTCTCATCTAAAGGATTGTGTCCGTACTGTCTCAGTGGAAGACCCAACTTTAGACCCCAACGCTGATGGACTCCAGCACTAATAGTCATGATTGGGGAATACGGGCATAAATGAGGGTTCTAATAAGTGTGTTTTATTGTATTATTGTTCTTAGCTGTTTCAAAACATGTAATAGTATTTTGCTGCCTTCTAGTTATAGATAGATCTAGCTATAGAATAGAGAAATAAAGACTTTATTTCACTGTGCCTCTCCAATTCAACCAACTTTAAAGATGGAGCGTCGCCTTGCATGTTGCTTCATGCATTGGTCAAATCAATCAGTGCATCTTAAATGTCAATATAACAACTCTGGCAGTTTGTTTTGTCAGCTTTTGTGCTTCATGTATGATTTGCATATTTCGCTTGCATATGAATTTCAACCAGATCATGTGACCTGCAAATATTTTTTACCTTGGAGAAAAAAGCTTCATTCTGGCAGCGCTACAGCTGCTAGATACCAATAGATAGTTAAATGTGTTGACAGGATTGCTTTAAGGTTTATAATACAACATCCTTTTTGTTTTTCGCAGCTTGTCCATCTGTACCAATGAGCGGCAGCACAACTCCAGGTAAAAGTCCAACCACTTCCTGCAGGGGGTCATGCTTTACCCTTCTGAACATCAAAAGCATGTTTTCTGTTGTAAAATCACTCAAATTCCACCATTTATCAGAAACTGTAAAAACAAGAAAAATCATCAAATTCTAAGTTGTTTTTTTTTTTTACCATCTGTGACATATGGTTCCATCCGGAAAAATAAGCAAATCTAATATTAAAATTGTGATATTTATTCAAAATCCCTTCACACCACATGACTCAAACAGATCAGAGAGACTTTAAGGGTCAGAAAATATACTCGATCAATAAAATAGATGCAGAATGACAGAGGAGCAACCTGCCAGGATGCTGTTAGAAGATACGTTCAGCATGGTGAAATATCTTTGTAGAGTCCATGTGCAGAGAGTAGGGGATGTAAATGGAAATAATGAAGTATCTATAGCATGTGGAGCCCTCAATTTTTTCTATTATTGGTCACTTCTGTGGGCACTAGGAAAATGTTGCACATGCTGATTCCAGATTTTCCATTTTCATTTAAGTATTAAGTCATTCTATGTTTGTTTTATTCCTCTATTTTTTTTAATGATTTATGTCATAACTGTACAATACAGCACATGAGACATTTCTGAGTTCTCTCTACTTCTAGTCATGGTTGTGCTGTTTCCATAGAGATGCAAGACTTTATATTGTAGTGAAAAATGAGCCCACAGTGAGTAAAGATGTGACGGGAACCGAAAACGCCCAGCAACGGCTTGGGGTTCAGGGGGTTCAACCATCAGTTAGTTTGAGAACAATAATTTGGTCTTAAATATTATAATTGGCACTGTTTTTCTTCAGGCTTCCGTATGATGGAGCTGTTTGGCCTCGTGGAGAATCGGTACAGCAGCGTCTCCGGCGTTTCCATGGTCCCTGGCACCTTCAACGCTTTCCCCTGTTTCCACCTGCACAGCAACGCTCTGCTGGCACAGCCAACCCGGTAGGCCAGCTCAGAAAACGCACCTCATTAGCTGAATGTCTTCTTGCTACCTGCTGCATGGACCTCACAGAGACAGACTTCATAGCACGTTAGATAAAAGCAAATGGAGAATCTGTTTGACCCGAAAGAGATCACCCACAAGGAGGTTTCACCGTATTTACCCGCCTCTGATGTCTGCTGCTTTTGTTCGCTTTGGTTCGTAGGTACATCCATCCTGAGGGGCTGCCCTCCGACTACACCATCACCCTGCTGTTCAGACTGCTGGCCAACACTCCTGAGGAACCCTTTGCCCTCTGGGAAATCCTCAACAAGAACAACGAGCCACTGGTGGGAGTCATCGTGGACAGTGAGTGGAGAAACACAGCCTTCAACGGACAACTTGAACACATCTGGTTCTCTTAAGGCCATTTTATGTTTTATGCATCCGCAAACATAGCCATCACCCGATGCACACAACGGTCCAGGGATCACCTCTGCGGGATCTTTTGTCATCCACTTCTTTATGAGGCATCATTTAAAGAGTTGTAACTGAATTAACTCCTGCAGGACTTTGGAGGTGCTTTGATTTGTGCGTGCTTGTCAATCACTAAGTCAGTGGGAAGTTTTAATTCTCCCGCAGTGTTTTCGAAGTCCACTGACCTGTTTTATTCCTTTGCAGTCAGTCAGTGGACGTACAGAATACCAGGAAGACTGTTTTCATGAAGGAGACGCATGTCCTTTACAGATTTCTATCTTAAAATCAGATACTAAAGGATGGAAATAAACAGTGAACAGAAAGGGATGCCACTTGCTACAAAGACTATGGAATAAGATGGATGACACTGGGTATTCCTCACAAACAGACCTCAGGCACTTGAGTTTGGCAGTCGCACCTCCTACAGTTGAACTCTCTGGGTTCGTGAGGCGAGAGCTGTGCTGTGAAGTTGGCCAATAACACTCCCATCAGATTACAAATGATAACGCTATCAGGAGGAAATCAACAGTCTGGGGTGCACAGAAACCAACCTGCTGCTCATTAAAACCAATTAGGTGATGTAGGTGAGACGTGGTATCTGCACAGAGCTCAGATATATAATGAGACACGACACTACAGACGACCTTCTTTTTTGTGTAATTTAATAAAAGAAACATTCGATATCCTGTGTTGCATCATCTCCCTGAATATCTGTAATATTCGTACATTTAGTGTGTTTTTGTGTTTGCTTTTTTTTAACGTTTACATTGTGTGCGTTTCTGCAGACGGAGGAAAAACGCTGACGTTCTTTAACAACGACTACAAAGGAGATTTTCAGACGGTCACCTTCGAAGGACCAGAAGTCAAAAAACTCTTCTACGGCAGCTTCCATAAGGTCAGAGTCACTCCTGTCCTGTGTTGTTTGATTCCCAACATGCTGAACGATTGATCGTCTGACAGACTGCAGATACATCAGCGTTCAAAGTTTACCTGGATGTCGTAAAGTCCGTCTAGATTTTCATGCAAAATTTGGCATTGGTGTGACACAGGTGTGATTGAGTGAGGAGTTCAGAGGGTTAATAACCTCATTGTTTTACAGACGGATAACCATTTAACTGTTCAATGTTTTTAACACTTTTTGACTGTGGAAAATTTTACAGATTTTTGCTGTTTTTGTTGAAATACAAGTAATAGTAAAGTCACAGAAAAAAATTGCTTGTCACAGTAAACAAAAAATACATCAATAAACAGGCCAAAACTGTCAAAACGTTCACATCCAGAAGCTGTATTTTTACAAAGTGTAATTAGATCTTTTACGTTCAAGCATAAAATTACACAATTTTTCCCATATTTAGATCAGCAAAACAAGTTAGCAGATATTTGTAGTTGTTTGAAAGGAAATAATGTGTGTTGTGAACTAAAAAAGAAAAAAGAAAAAATAGGACATACTTTGATTTCTTAAACTGTTATATTGCAGATTCTCCCTGTTTTTTGTTTTTTTTAAAAAATTTTTTAATTAGATGTATCTTTTAAAACCACATATGAATTTACATTTTAACAGTAAGATAGGCCAAAACTGTGAATAACGTCCACATCAAAAATCTGTATTAGATTGTTCAGATTTGACAAAAAAAAAAGTACACTTTTTTTTTCTTGTTTTTAAATCTGCATTAAAAAACAACAACAACAACAACAACAACAACATTATTTTCCATATCTAGGTTGTTGAATAGACACATTGTGTCTATTAAGAACAAAACAGATTTTCCCTGTTTTTTTAATTTACACAATATTTACTGAAATCACAACAACTTTTTCTTTTTTAAATGTTATATATGAATTATATGAAATTATAGAAAAGTAAATCCAAGACATATATAAAAATAAAACAAGACAGTTAAATGTTTTATTATAAATGCCACATATTCATCAGACCAACTCAGTCAATATTCTAATCAATAAATACAAAATCAATATTTTTACAAATGGTAATTAGCTCTTTTGTGTTTAAAAAATGAAATTATAGTAATTTTACTGTATTTAAATCCATTAGGAATATCATTATTTTACTATATTTTTCATACTTTTTTAATGTTATAATATTCCAGAATAATATTCTGGCACCTTTGCTGCCAGATATTCTCCAATCGATTTTTTTCTTTCTTTTTCTTTTTTTTTTTTTTAGCAATGTAATAATACCACTGAACAAAGTCGCGCACTTACAGCAGACAAACTGAAACATGGGAACCTACCCTACAATACATTCATGTGTTTTTATGATTTGCTTGAAAGTCCATTTTACACGGCTGGTGCTGCAGCTAACAGAACAGATTAGATAGTTGGTTGGTTTGTTGGTTTTTATCACAGAGAAGAGTCAGTCAGTGACAGTAATTTCACCAAAAGTCCACTTATTGTTCCATGTGGGACAGTGTCGGACCTAAATGCACTTGTTGAGCGTCATGTTTAAATGTATGAAGTTTACAGTTTCAGAGCGCTAATGTGCAGCCGTCGTATTAGAAATAAGAGAGTCACTGAGTGGTAAAAGAAATATATTAACACCATCCACAGTTTTCTAGCAGCATTCTCCTCTTGAATCGTTTGCAGTAACAGACCTGCTTCATAGTTGTAGCAACTTGCACCTCTTGACTGAAGGAGGAGACATGTGATTGGTCCGTTTCGTGCAGAACAAGAGTCACATGACACCTCCTTTTATGGGAGCACGCTCAGAGCCCGATGAGGTAATCCAGTTAGCAAAGATATCTGATAACCAACCATACAGTCGTCCTCAAACGTATTCATACCCTCCCATTAAAGAAGGGAGAAAAAACATGTCACTGAAATAAGTTGAAATTGACAAAAGTAATTATAAATAAAAATTTAATGAAAATCATGATGTTGCTTTTGAATTGTGGTTCAACAGAAATATTAAAAAAATAAAAATAAATAAGTATGATGGGATTGAAACTAATATTTTGTTGAACAACCCTTTGAGCCAATCACTGCAATCAAGTGTTTTCTGTGACCCTCAGTCAGACTTCTGCATCTGTTGACAGGTATTTTCATTTTGGCTCGCTGCTCATCAGCAAAGTACTCTAATTTATCCTGGACAGTTTTGGGTTTTTTTGTTTTTTTTAAATTATTCTTTTCAACCACAATTCAAAAGCAATGTCTTATTTCACTAAATTACAATTTAGCAAATTTTTATTTATTATTACTTTTTTCAGTTTCTAGTTTTTTGAGTGGCTATTGTGAATTTTGCCTTTTCTTTAATGGAAGAGTACGAATACATTTGAGGATGACTGTGTCTCTGATTGATGCCCATTTACAGGTTTTGTCTAGTCAGCTAACTCAAAGAAAGCCTGGATATGTTGAACCTGCTTCCTAGCTTCGTGTCGACATACCCGCCCTCCTCCCTCGCTCTTCTTCTCTCTTCCTAAACCTTGTAGACACAGTAGTTTCGGCGCTGACAGGCCGACTGGAGCTGCCCTGAGCCTGAACCTGCTCACCGTCGTGTTGTGTTATTGTCGGTGTGTCAGTGCTGTGGGACTCGCCGACTGATCTGCAGTCACATCTGTCTGCTGGCTGTCAGCGGAGCTTATCCTGCTTACCTTTTCACCCTTTCCTCTGTGTGCGTCTGTGGTGCATACATAGTGGATTTAACCTGACAAGTCTCTGTGTGATTATGAATCAGAGGATATAAGTCATTTGATAATCAGCCAAATCTAGCACCTCTCCTGTCTTAACTTACTTTGAAGATTAAATTTTCCCCCATACAATGAAAAGGTCACAGAAGTTCAGCTTTCGCATCTCTTTTGTTCAATAAACTGTTTTTTAGTTGCTGAAAAGCTGACGTTTGGAAATATGACAAGAATGCAAAAAAAATATCCTGTATGGACTGAGACAAGGCTGTGCCGCTTCACACTCTGAACAGGATTTATATCACAGCTCTGCAGTGCTAATGCAGGTTGGACGGACTTCTGCTCTGCCTGCAACTGTATACAGAAGTGTGTGTTCATGTGCAAACACATGCGAACATGAAGGCATGCAGCGAAACAGTTTGAGAGCACAGATGAAACCGCCAGGGCGACGCTTGTCTTTCTTTACCAGCTAAAGTTTAGACCATATGTAGAAAAACAGGATCTCCAAATAAGAAAATGTTTTTTAAATACGGAAAACTGAGCAAAAAAATCATCAGCATGACTTCAATGGAAGCTTGTCATTTCACTGCAATTCTGCAAAAATGTCAAATCAGCTGCTGACCTTTTAACGCTCTTAGTTTGAAAGGCAAGTTTAAAAAAAACAACAAAAAAAACCCCACCAGCGTTAAAATTACACTATTTATCAGCCAGAAGCTGTAAAGAAAACAAAAAAGAATCAGTAGATTTTTTAGCTTTCTGACAGTCCTTGAACTGCTCACTGTGCCATCATTTGGTAAATTCACAGAGTTTAAGCTTAAAATCACTTTGTTCTACACGTCTTGTTTAAAAATGTGCCCAAACCAGGTATTTATTTAAAAAATAAATAAAAAATAAACTGAAACTTCTACAGTCGTCAGTGCAACAAAGAGTACATTAGAGACTCAGTTAAAACGAGCAAATCAGGGACTACTGGGCCGAACTGCAGGCTGTGTTTACACCAAGCAGTGAGGAGACAACCAATTTCTTGGAAAGGATTTCTTTCATTATAACTTTGCTATAGCGCACAAAAGACATTTTTGAGCTCTGTCCACTTCTAGACGTGGTTGTGCTGTTTCCATAGATTTATATTGCAGTTAAAAAAAAAAAAAAGCCTACAATGAGGAAAAAATGTGACAGGAGCAAAATAAAAAAAAATAAAAAAATAGCCTCAGAAGCTGCATGTACAATGTGAGTTGACGTCATGGATATAAAACACGCTTTTTCTTTGATAAGGGCGGTAAATAAGGTGTTAAAACTGTAATTATTTAAATGTCTTCCTCCATTCCAAACTCAACACATTAACCAAATGAGACATTAAAGTGTCAAACAAAGTTCCACACATTGATTATAAACATGGAAATGAATCTGTGTTAAGATGTTTTTAGTTTGCATCCTACTGTATTTGTAAAAAATCTAATTTTGCAGAGTCATCAAAGCAAAATAAAATGCTACACTGAGCTTTAAAGGCGCTAAAAACATCAGAATGGAGCTTTTTTTTTTCTTCTTTCTTTCTTTTTTCCGCCCGCTTCAGTCGTGCTTACGTGTCAAATCTTCATTTAGGAATATAGAATCCAAATTACAGAGCAGACTTTTTAGTTTTATTGCCTGTTTCCCATATAAGCGAATATCCTTGTTGCCGTGACAAACATAGAACACTGTAACGGTTTAATTAGAAAACCTTAGATATGCTAAATATGTGTACTCTCACATCTTAGCTTCTTTATTGTCTCCCATTACTGTAAATATAATTAAAGACAGAGTGAAACACCTCTTTTTCCTTTCCCATAAAAGGTTAATATGGTTTATAAATGTAAAACCTGTGTGTGCTGATCAAGATAACAGCGACACTCGGGGTGTTTGTTTTCGTTTGAGTGCAGGTTGTGGCGGAGCTTCAAATCTGCTCTGCTGTGCTACTGTGAAGGCATTCGTTTAACCACAGTGTCAAAAAGGGTTCATTTTGTCTCTGAACAAGCCTGAGCACACACAGTCTAAGAGATGAGCACTTTTGCTTATACGAGGTGTGTCAGAAAAGTTCCAGGACTGGTGTCACAAAAGATATATTTCAAACCCAAACTACCAGTTTTCCCCTTCAGATGATCAACCAGCACGTCTACAAAGAGATCTTGTGGCGTTTGCTTCGTTCAGTGTGCGAGAAGAGGCGAGATGTTGTGGCAGGACAAGTCATGACTGCTTCACCATGACAACTCACCTGCTCACAATGCTCTGAGCATCCGACAGTTCCTGGATGAGAAGAACATCGCCGTGCTGGAGCAACCACCCTCGTCACCCCACCTGGCTCCGTGGGATTTTTTCCTCTTCCCCAAGCTCAAGGGGGTCATCAAGGGGACCTGCTTTGAAGACAAGGACGCCGTCAGGATGGCTGTGATGTCGGAGCTGTGGAGGATCCTGGAAGAATCCTTCCTGGAGCGCATGGCGGCGGGGCAGAGAAGGCTGGGGAAGTGTTTTAGACTCCAGGGGGATTACTACGAAGAGGAAAACTTGTAGTTTGAATTTGAAATATATCTTTTGTGACACCAGTCCTGGAACTTTTCTAACACACCTCGTAGGTGTGCATTTTTTGTACATCATTTCTGGATTGTTTGCGCCTGTATGGAAACATCCATCCATTATCTATACACCACTTTTGTGCAGTATGACACAGTTATGCCATAAATCAGGGGAAAGAAAAGGATATTTATTTAACAAAAATGTAAAACAAAAAAAAAAAAACTACTATCAGCACATACAAAGTTTCACCAATGCTGCAAAAAAGTTTCACTCTACAAGAGATATTTTACTACTTACATTTGTTACAATTATTTTCTATACATTTCTGCTTCCTGCTCTGTGAACTGCACAGCCTGCAGTTTAATCCAGTTCTAAAGAGCAGCATTTTTTTCAAAATCTGATTAGATTAAACAGTTTATTTTCCTTTTTTTTTATGCGACATGTAGAATAAAGTGATTTTGATGAAGTATGTAAGTACAGTAACTGCCTTTGTAGTGGAGTGACAGTATAATGTAGCAGATAATGGAACTACAGTTCAGGAAGTAGAGCTCTTGAGTACACCACTGCTTGTCCCTGGTAAATAAGACTGTAAATTAGTATGTTTTGCAGCAGCCACAGCTTGCAGGTAGAGGGAGCTGTTCTGTCACAGCATGTAGAGACGAAACCCAAAGGATCCCTAAAGGCTGCAGGTGTTGGACAAAGTCTTCAGGGTTTTCAGCAACTGCAGCCAAACAGCCTGAATTCTAGAAAAACTTGAAGAACTAATTCATTTGTAGTCCAACAAACTCAGGTGTCCAGCACTCGGAAGCACTAAAAGAAAATGTTAAAAAGCGTAAAAATCAACTTTGGATGATTGCGTGACATTGTGTTTGGTGTTTTTCTTTCACGCAGCTTCACATCGCGATCAGCAAGACGAGCGCCAAAGTGTTCATCGACTGCAAGATGGTGGCCGAGAAAAACATCAACGCGGCGGGAAACATCACCACCGACGGACTGGAAGTTCTGGGCAGGATGGTTCGCTCCAGAGGGAACAAGGACAACTCTGCACCGGTGAGCAAAGCATGCAAACACACAGACGGTGCACTTTATCAGGGCTGGAACCAACAACAAGTATGTTCACTTTATGCACATTTCCTATTGATAATTCAACTGTTGTTTGGTGACAAATGTCCATCAGTGTTTCCCAAATGTGTTGCTGGAATCAGAGAGTTTAGACTTTCCTTCCTAATGTAGTGTGACACGGCAAAAAAAAAAAGAAAAGAAAAGAAAGAATATTGAGCAACAGAGGGCCGGTCAGTCCCAACATGGCAAAAGATTATTTCAATAAATGAGTCCAACAGCACCAGATGGAATAATAAAATGCCACATCCAGGTAAGAGAAAGAACAGGTGGGAGAAAAAAAAGAAAAATAGAGGGTAAAACCATAAACACAAGGCCACAAATAATAATAACAGCAGTAAAAATAAATACGATACATCAATAAATAAACGGGAAAACATGAACAACGAAGTAAATAAACTGAATTAGATCATTAAAATAGACGATAACAATTTAAAAAATGGAACTAGATGTTGAATTGTGCTCCATTTAATTTGGCTTTTTGACAAGATTTGACTCTTTCACGTCAAAATGAAAGCAGATTTCTACAAAGTAATGGCAGTTAATTAAGAGTATAAAATGTAGTGATTGTATTGACCACCTCTGAACCTCATTCAGCTAGAAACTAACCTCGTTTTGTGGAGGGGGACAGGACAACTATACATCACAGACTTCGCTCTGAACTATGCGACTAAAGTCTGCAGCTCTGCAAACCCAAAGAAAAGGCTCACGATGGGGTTGAAAAGCCCAAATCAGAGACCTCGTGAGCTCGATTTGACAGCAGGTCGGCTCTGAGAAATCACGAACCCATCATCCCTCCCTCTGATTGGCTCGGTCACGTCGATATCCTCCAAACAAAAGATCCTCCGATCACACGCCGCTGCAGCTGTTTCATCCTCGTCGTCGTTTTTTCATCAAAGCTGAGCAGCTTTTCGGACGATCAATTTCTGGCAACTCTCCTCCAGAAACAGGGCGAGCCTCAGTGTCTGATTGGTTGGATCTCCCTTTGGAAAGAAAACCCTGGACCCTGGCTCTGAAGCTGAAGAACTCCACCTGGGTGTGAAAAACGGTCATTTTGACACAGTTGTGGCCAAAACTGAGGAGCCGAGTCAGTTGGCTTTAAACCTCTGAACCCCAAAAACCCAACAGCAGGTTTGAAAGACGTGTAGCCTTCTAAGAAATCACTGAAATCACATTATTTTTCAGAGCCAGAGACTGTAACACAAGGAGAATGTTAGGGTTTTCAACTTTCTGCAGACCTTTCAAGCACTCATCCATGACGTACTGGAAAAAGTTTTTATCAAAATCAGATTTATTGGCCACGTTTGTACACACAGACAAAGAATTTAACTCCTTCGCTCTCTGTGTACAGTAATCAGCAAAAGTACTACAATAAGGTAAAAGTTGAAGAGTAAAGAAATAAGCTAGAACAGTAAAAACAGAAGAGCAACGTAAAAATAACATGTTATATATGTTTTGTATGATTTATTTGTCTCAAATTTTACCCACATTTGACCAAATCTAAGCTTAAAATTGTTTTATTTTAATTTAAATCAATTTTAGAATTCTTTAAAAATCGCCACAAGTTAACACTTTACCCCAGATTTGGAAAAAAAACAAAACAAAAACAAAATGAAAACCTGAGCTTTGAACAACATCATAAAAATTATTTTTAAGTAAACTGGGTTGAACTGCAGAAAGGAGGCAAGTATGGAAATAAATTTAAAATTAGTTCTAATTAATTTGTGTGAAGAATCTTTTTTTTTTTTTCAGAATTTATAACATTTGTTGGCATTTGGAATTTTTTTAAAAAAATTTATTTATTTATTTTTTAGTAGAATCAATATTTTTAAACAGTTTAACTTTCATTTTTATCTTCTTTTATGATTCATGGCCTAACTTTGTTTTTCTGCACTGAAGACATTTTTCTCTCCACTTCTGGACGCGGTAGCGCTGTGCCCTGGTTGGAGAACGGGAGCACCAGAATGTGTTTCTACTTTTTTTTTTTTTTTTAATATTTCCACAACCCGACACGAGGCTCAGAGTCTCCCACTGCGTTTTAAACCCCGTGAATCAGCCCTGACTAATACTCCAATTTTACACCTCCGAATTCACCACACCTAATTAGACAAACACAGGCATTTGCAGAAACGTTCAGAGGAAAGCCGGGGTAATCTTTTTCTTCTTTTTCTTTTTGGGCATGACACAGGATTATGACTTATTTGCACAGCACTAAAATATCTCAAGACATTCAGCGATTCGTAACAGCCCGTCATCAGCAGTCTTAATCCCGCCATGTGAACTAAAAGCACCCCCTCATTTGTAGTCAAACGGCCTCCCGGTGATGCATCTGCAAGTTTTCTGACTGCATTTTTCTGTTTTCCGTTATTCATTCCCAAAGTTACTGATGCTGACATTGTGACATGAGTACTTGCAGGTCGGTGTGAGCTTTTCTTGTTGCTTCATATTCAGCCTTTATTTAAAACTCTCCCAAAATCAAATCAATCAGTTTTTCCTAAAAAATAAAAATAAAAATGTCAAGAATTATGTGTATTTTGGAGTTTCCTCTTTGCACAACTTGACCCTCTGAGCGGTTTCTGGACATTTTTTGCTTTTACTCACTGAGGGCTCATTTTTTTTACTGCAACAGAAAGTCCTGCACGTCCATGGAAACACCACAACCATAACTAGAAGAGGAGAAAAAAATGTCTTCTGTGCAGTATAAAAAAGCTATGAAGCCATACATAATAACTAAAGTTAAGTTTAGTTGATTATTTATTTTACAAAACTATGTTTTTCTGCCTAAGAAGTCCCTGAATTTCTGTCATGTGAATACTGGATGCTGAAAGCTTCTTAGTTTCAACAAAGAAGTGAATTTATTTTTTTTATTGTTATTATTCGTGTTTGTTTGTTTTTTTTATTAGTGAACTGTATATTTTTCTGAATTTTTAAACAAGGCATGCAGAATAAAGGGATTTTCCTTAAATATCATGATTATAATCATAGATTTTAATCTTTACCAACAGAAAAGGTGCAAATGCAATGATTTTTTTTCTGCATTTACAGCCTCTCAAGCTGCTAAATCATCTGATTTTGGTGAAGTTTTAAAGATAACATGTCTTTCAAACCCGCTGGTGGGTTTTAATGAGACTAATGTCTTGGGGGTTTTTTGGTTTTCTTTTCTTGTGCAGTTCCAGCTCCAGAACTTTGACATTGTCTGCAGCACTTCGTGGGCCAACAGAGACAAGTGCTGTGAGCTTCCTGGTCTGGTGAGTTCTCTTTTGTCTAAACCACTCTTCACTCTTCTGTCTGTACGCAGAAGAGATGTTCACGACCTGTTCAGAGCAGCTGTTCCATTTCACCGTCACATCTTGCTTTCATCTGTTTCTTTGTGTCACCCTCATCCTGCCGTGATCATCCAGAGGAAGGAGGTCGACTGCCCAGCCTTGCCCAAAGCCTGCACCTGCACCCAGGACAGCAAAGGCCCCCAAGGCCCTGCTGGAGTACCAGTGAGCTTCACACAAATCTACACACCTACACATGTTTCTGTAGCAGCACCGAGCGACACACACTCTGAATCACACCTCGTGTTGTATTAGCAGCCTGAGTTACTTCACTTCAATCCATTTTTTTTTCCCTTTTTTTAACTTCTCTGTCTGGCAGACCTTATTTCTTGTACCTCAGCTTGTTTGTCAGCTTATTTATCTGTCCAGACTCACGCAGCGTCTCACAGCGGTAAACGTGTTGATTGTAACCACCTCCTGCTATTTGTGTTTCTAACAGGGAGGCCCAGGAATCAGAGGAGCCAGAGGTGATCGCGGAGAGCCGGGCCCCGTGGTGAGTTGTGTTGGTTTACTCTCTTTAAAAAGCCGCCGCTGTGCACACAAGACAAGACGTCTGCCTATGTTCTATTTAGATGCTTCCGAAAAGCTGATATAACTGTCAAACTGATGTTTTGCACAAGTCGTGTGTCATCATGTGTGCATCTTTTACTGTCACAGGCCTGTTGTTCTTCCGTTTATTTGTTAAATCTGTTCAGTTTTACTAATATCCAAGCCCTCTGCACCAGGAGTGCCCTAAAAACAATCACCACCATTCGGAAAAGAGCCTTTGTCGTTGCTTTTTGAGCATAACTGTCACTCTGTAGTGTTGATATACATGGCACTCGCACAATTCTGTACTCTCACACAAAATAATAATCATAATTAATCAGATTTATAGAGCACTTTTCTCGACACGCAAAGATGCTTAACACTGTCAATTATTCATTCACACACAGTCATTCCAGTGGTGGTAGCTACGGTTGTAGCCGTAGCCCCCCTGGGGCAGACTGACAGAAGCGTGGCTGCCATTCTGCCCCTCCGACCACCACCTCAAACAATCCATTCATACGCATTCACACCAAGCAAGGTGGGTGAAGTCTCTTGCCCAAGGACACAACGACCATGACACAGGTTACAGGGCGGAATCCACCTGCTGGCGTTTCTGATCATTGACCGACACGTTCTACCACCTGAGCCACAGCCGCCCCAAATAGCCCCCCATATACACAAAAGCAACGTGAGGGTGGCAATGGATCTTGTCATTAGCACTCTGAATCCCAGGCAGGCTTCCCAGGCAAGTTATCGTCCACAGAATCCCCCCAAATGATCATAATCAGAGCCAGAAACTGATGAATTGTGGGATTTACAGATTCTCATCAGTCCTTGAGCTAATTGCCCATGACGTGTCATAAGGAAAGATTATTGAGTCTTAACAGGAAAAACTGAATAAACACATTTTGCAACCAGGCAGCCCCAAGCAGTTTGCAACCAACAGTGCTGTCGCAAAAAGTTCAGGGTTTTTCGACTAGACTAGGCTGAGCTGCAGACAGTGTTTACTCATTAGATAGGAGGTGAGAATAGAAATGTAAGCAGTAAAATATCTATCAGCCGTAGAGTCACCATTTACTTCCATGACTGATAACACCTGAAAACATTTGGAAAAAATATATTGATGTTGACTACATGTCTGTACTTTTAGCCCTGGTTGTGCTGTTTCCATAGAGGTGCAGGACTTTATAGTGCAGATTGCAAAATGCATTGTGCTGAAAATCTGTTAATAATTGTGATAAATAATCAAAATCTCAATATTGATCAATTTGCAACTATCATTTTGGCCGTAACTGTGCAGAAAGTCTTAGAGAAACAACAAGAAAAAAACAGGTATTTGCCGTCAAGAACAGACT